GCGCTGGCTGCGTGTGCCTAATGTCCGCCCAGTCGCCGACCCTTGAGCTTGCTGCATGTTTGGGATGTTCGCCCAATCGTCGCCCGTCGCCGCCTCGTCGCCGCCCCGTGCTCTGGTTGGGTGTTCCGGGTTTCTGCCCGGCCGCCGCGCGTTCGCCGCGCCGTCGCCGCACCACATCGCCTGCATCACATAGCCTGCACCACAGAAATTGCGCCACGTAGGTCGTACATCAAAAAGGAAGTTGCCCCAGTGCGACCCTACCTAGAAGTTGGAGCCCCTGGGAAAGCAGCATTCGTTGCTATGCTATGCTATGCTATGCCATGCTATGCTATGCTAAGCAATGCTATGTCATGCTGCGCTGTGCTATGCTAAGCTATGCTATGCTATGCTAAGCTGCGCCATGCTATGCTATGCTATGCTGCGTTATGCTATGCTTGCCTTTGCTTTGCTTTTGCTTTTGCCTTGCTTTGCCTTTCCTTTGCTTTGATTTTGCGTTTGCTTTGCTTTGCGTTGCCGTTGCTTTGCTTTGCTGTCGCTGCTGTTGCTTTGCCTTTGCTTTGCTGCTATGCTCTGCTATGCTATGCTATGCTATGCTGCGCTGTGCTATGCTGTGCTGTGCTGTGCTGCGCTATGCTATGCTATGCTATGTTGCGCTATGCTGTGCTATGCTGGGCTATGCTATGATATGCTGTGCTGCGCTATGCTATGCTACGCTATGCTATGCTGTGCTCTGCGATGCTAAAGCTCAGCGAAGCTAAGATGAAGGTAAGCTAAGCTGATATAAACCTGAGCTAAGATGAAGCTAAGCTAAGCTAAGATGACATAAGCTAAGCTAAGATGAGATAAGCGACGCTCAGCTAAGGGGACGTCACTGGGGGAACCGCGGGGCGGATCCTGGGGGAACAGCCCGAGGCGGGGAACACTGCCCGGCCCCTTTAAGCAAAGAGAGTAAGAACCCTTCTAGGCAGAGCCTAGGTAGGGAATGATTCACGGTTCGGGGTCCACGCTGGCGAACATGCCGCACACAATTACTTCAATCTGTGATGCCTTGCTTTGTCCTCCTTTAACTACTACACAGATTCACACTTCTTTGCGCTGCATTGGCTCACGCTGCGGTGCTTTGCACGACACGTCTGTCCAGGGCGGGGAATCCTGGAGGAGCCAGAGGCGGCTTCCCGAAGAACGGCCAGCTGGTCTCAAGAAGCCCGGCTTCGGCCACCAATGTCCACGCTCCCGCGTGCACGGGCGGAGCAAGGACTCCTCGGGCAAGTCCTGAACTGTGAGAAGAGGTACCGCGCTGCAACGGCCAACAACTCTATACACATGAGAACGGACGAAATCAATCGCAGAATTTGCTTGGGCTCGCTGGCGCAACCCTGCCCCTCCACCTGTGAAAACAAAGATCGTGCGCGAAGCCAGCGTGAGAGGAGCGACCCACGAGCAACGCGAAAGCGAACGAGCTGGCCCTCGAACGAGAGCGAGCTGCGAGCGAAGAAGCTTGCGGGCGTTGCGGTCTTTGAGCGAGGTCGGCTTGGCGGCAGCCTTCAAGGTCAGGCTTCAGCTCGAACCCATGTGGCTATCCTCAACTTCGCGCTGCAAGAAGCGCAAAACGCGGTTACCTTCGCACCCCTTGGTGTCAGGGACACACACGAAGCATGGATGACAAGGAAGGGGGGATATTGAGCGGAGGGGTCAGATACGGATGCCGGGTGGGAGTGAAGGAAGGAGCAGGAGGAGGACATGGTGATTATAGTTGCGCCCCCGCGGCTACCCCTCGGCGTTTGGCCGAGCCTTCTCGCCCTCGGCGTTTGGTCGAGCCCTCTCGCCTTCGGCGTTTGGTCAAACCCATGTGCCCTCGGCGTTTGGTCGTGCACTCTCGCCCTGCTGATGCGCCGTGCAGGCGCCTGGCACACCTGACCTGACCTGCGGCTACCGTAGCAGATAGACCCAGCACGGAGGCCAGAGCCGAAAGGCGTCGGCCAGCAGGGCAAGGCAGGATGCGGCAGAGCACGCGCGGAGAATCGGCGGCGCGCCGAGGGGGTGAATTCTCGGAGGAGGGCGCGTGGAGACACGGCTCGACTTCTCGGCCCTCCGGGGCCCCTCCCCCCCAAGAATGGAATAGAACTGACGAGATCGAAACAGACGATGAATTGTTTGTGAAGCTCAGTCTGAACCGAACTACGGTACAGCAGGCAAAGACTGTGCTCTGCCTGGGCCTGGGGCGCTGTAAGCACCACTGAGCCAATGGCACTTTTCGGCCCTCCGGGGCCCCCCCCCATCGCCACGGCTGGACGCAGTTCGGAGAACTGGTGCGTTTGGACCCGGGGAGAGGTCCGGGGCAGGATTTTGAGCGAACTTGGGCCGCCGTTCTCACCGCCGTTGTCTCACGCGGCTCGCCTCCGAGAAGCGAAAGGCGGCAGGCCTTCTCTCGGGGGCGCGCAAACATGGATTAGCGATCCATGGATTTGGCGCGCGGTCGCCGAATCCATGGATCGGGGGAGGTGCCCTCCCCAAAATGCGGCCGGAGCCGCCTCGCTCGGCGGCGGAAATCCGCGCGATTTCCGTGGAGACGGGACCCGTCGCTAATCCACGCCCCCTTGATCCGTGTGTGCGATCGCCGGATTCCCGGAAGGCGGCGGCGCCTCGGAGCAGGCCTGCACAGCTGCTCGGAGGGCTGGAAGCGTTCTGAGCCTTCTGCTGCGGCACGCCCCCTGTCTTCCCCCCCGGGCGCGCAGCCGAGAGAAGGCATTGGCCAGGCGCGGGGCCAGAAGTCGTAGAGCAGCGTGCAGAACATGCACACGTTCCCGGCGTCCTGGAATCGCAGGCTGGGCACCGCCCCTCCGCCAAGCCCGAGACTCGGCCTCCCTCGCCCTCTCTCCGTGCTGGCCACCCGCGTCGTGCGCCCCTCGCCCTCCCCGGCAAACAGACCCGCCCCCAAGCTTTTGTACCCTGCAGCGCGCAACCTGGCTCGCTCTGCAGCGGAGGAGGATGAGACATGAGATCGAGGGTCGAGGACAGCCGAAACTGATAGCAAGAATGCGCGATGAGGATGCAAGCCCCTCGGACGCCCATGTCGAAGCTGTTCGAGCTGGGCTGGACATCGGAAGAGGTGAAAGGGTGGACCGACGAGGCAAAGATGCAGGGGAACCCGTGGGAAGGTTGCCCGTCCTTATCATCTGTTATGACTGTAGTGAACGACTGCCAGGCCGAGATCATGATGGCACCTACAACGGCACCGCGCAACGGGGCCCAATGGGTCCCGCTCTCCCGACGCCATGCCTCTTCAAACCTAGCCTCCAGCCCAATAAAGCCTCAAAGCCACCGCGGTGCCCTGTCATGAGAAGCTAAGTCCATACGGAGTAAGTCCATGCGGAATGCTCGGTCTCCTTCTGGGCTTACTCCGCCTGGACTTGGCCTCTCCGAAGCCCTCGGCCATGGGCGGTTCTCGGCGCAGCCGGGCCACGCACCCGACATTTCGACCCGAGCCCAACAATGGCGTCCCTTGGCCCGCGATTCCGAATGCACCGACAAGCCAGGCCGCCCACACAAGGCGCCACCCAGCCCTTTACTTTTCCCTCTCTGATGAGCCGGTTGACCTTTCCTCACAAAGCGCTCCGAAATCCTTTCGCTTCTTGATGGGGCTGGACAGTTCGGCAATGCGGCAACACGCCATCGCAACTCCCGGGAGGAGCCCGCCGTGCGAGCCAACGCCCCGCGACTTCCAGCTGCTATAGCACAGATTGTTCCATAGAACGTATGTGTGTTCATCCCTCTCGCGTCTCTGCGCGTCGCTCTGCCAAAGGGGCCCCGATGCTGCTGGTGCAGCCGCCCCAAAGCGCACGACATCGCGTAAGCAGCTGCTCCGCGCATGTGGCCCGACCGCAGTGCAGCACGGGATCGCTATTTCTGCTTGCGCCCCATGGGCCCATATGCCCGCCGCCGCCGCGCTCGAGAAGCAACCAACCCTTGGGCTGGCGCAACTCCTCTGGCCGCTCGACAGACTCGGAAAGCACCGCGATCCTGGTGGGACCCCGTGGGATGGGACCCTATGCATTGGGACCCCTTGGTCGGCAACACGCACACACAGCTCAGCTTCCGCTGGCGAGAGATCATCGAAAGGGGACCTCCGGCTTGTAACATACAACATTCGCGCCGATGGAGGCCAATTCAGGTGGAACCCTTTTGTGTTGGACCTTATAGGTTAGGACCACCTGGCTGGCCACATGCGCCATCGTAGCCCACCAATACCAGCTCAAGTGAAACCCGAAGGGGTGGGAGTCTGTGGGTTGGGACCCAATGGCAGGCAGCACACGCAGCACCAACGGATGACAGCTAATTCAGGTGGGACCCTATGGGGTCGGACCCTGCAGTTGGCGCCATATGACCATATGACATTCCCGCCGACGAATGCCAATTCAGGAGGGGCCCTGTGGGGTGGGATGCCCTGGGCCCATGGGCCCTCTGGGGTGAGGCCCTGTGACCAACAACATCCGAAACTCCGCCGATCGATGAAACCTGTTGACAACAACTCATTATGCATGCAACCGATGTTTGATGACACGGGAGCGATGCGCGAACACTCTTCTGTCCATGGGCTGGGTCGCAATTTCGCGTCGGCAACAAACGAGGCGGAAGTGAATGCCGTCCATTATCAGGGCATCGCGGTGCCAGGAGTCTTCACCAGAGAATAATATAGTCACCTCGAGGCGGAGGCGCGGGCAAAAACAGGCAACGGCAGCCGCCCCTGTCTTGGTACCCTAGTCCCACATGGTGAAACATGTCTTCTGGTACATACTTGTACGGGAAGCTGGCGAAGAGCAGAATATGGGAGCAGACGGGCAACCCACCGCCGCTCAACGTAGACTCCTTCGGACGCGTCTTCAGCCCTTGTTCAATTCTGATGAGCTGAGGGCCGACTAGGACAGCGATACTATCCCGACGCACAATCCTCCACAATCCTAGAGATGCGCCCTCCGCACTGCTACCACCAGAATTCTGGATTATGGAACGCATGGTGCCAAAACAACATGCTCATGATACACACTGCAGGGCACTGTGGGAGTGGCAACGTGTAAGTCGCAACTAGAGGCCTCCTAGATGAGGTCGGAATGGATGGGGTCGAAAGATCGCGCCGCATCGCCGATGCATCGGCGATGCATTGGCGATGCATGGGCGATGCACCCGCGACGTCGGCGATGAATCGGCGCCGTCGACGTGGAGAAAATCGGGCTCCACATCGAGCCACATCGCCGATGCATCTGCGATGCGGCGCGATCCTCCGACCCCATCTACTCGGACCCTATCAAGGAGGCCTAGAGCCATGCACAAACCGTGGAGGCATGCAGGTGACCGCGCCCCCCCCGTACGCAGAGCTCGCAGGCCTATTTAGCTGGTGCTGATAGAAGGCGCCTTGCCTACGGCCAACTTCGCGGCCCTGGGCCAGCCCCATCACCGCGGCTCCGGCCGGGCGGCCAATCGCACCGTGGGCGGCCGCGTGAGCGCCAACTGCCTCTCCGCATACAGCGCAACGCCGGCGCTGCCACTCCTCCGGCGCGTCGTCCTTCTCTTTCCCTCTACCCCCCTCCCCCGCTCCTTCTTCTGATCCTCTCCGTTCCTCTCCTTGTCCCCCTCCATAGCTTCCCCGAGTTGCTCTCTTCAGTAGGTTCGCCCTGCACTCCACATTCCTCTCCCCTTTTCTTACCTACCCTTCCTCTCCCCTTCTTCCCACCCCGTTCCTGTACTTTCTCCCTGCCCTTCCATCACCTGCCTTCCCTCTCCTTCCCCCCCGCTCCACTTGCCCTTCACCTCAATCCCCCCTCGTCTCCCCCCCTCCCCCTCCCTGCAGCCTTCCCCTGTAACGCTCCCTCTCCCAAGGACGGAAGAGTGAGGGGAGAAGGAGGAGGACAGAATAAACCCAATATGCGTCAACGATACTGGAATACACCCGCCCGTCCGAAGTCCCCTCCTCAGAAGTCGCAATAGGCATGCCCAATGGGCCAGCCGTTCAGGCGAGAATCCCGTTTTGAAAAGCACCCGCCATCCATCCCTTTAGTTCGAGGAAGCGCGATTGGCGAAGAAATATAATCGCACAATTTAACTTATTGGCCGACGATGACACACATTTGCAACTGCTGGGCTCATCATCCGTGTACCTGTTGCAGATGCTTGTCACTTCTGGCCCTGTGGCCAGCACATTCTCAGGCAAGGGCACAATCTTGGGCAGAAGCCCTCCCTCCATCCGCACGGGCATCTACCCGTGACCAAATCTGAGGTCGCAAAACTTGGAGGAATCTGAAACGAGAGCCACACCTTCGCACACACGCCGCCTCCATCCGCGCAGCCGTCGGCCGACCGGTGCGCCCGACGCTGAGGCGAACGACTCGTGTGGCAAACGGACCGCCACTCATCTGGGTAGCTCTGGAGTGTTGGAAAGTGCGTGTGCGCGCGGATGCGCCCTCATCCGCTGCAATCGGATCGTGCTGGGCGGGTGGATCTCCGCCTTCGTTTTGTCCTCCCCCACAGCCGTTTGCTTCAGTCACGAGCGCTGACGCTTGTCTGCTGGCCACACGTGTGCATGCAAGGATGTTGTATGACTGTCTGCAAACTCTACAGAAGACCATTGAATTCCAATGCATGCGCACGCCCGGCAAACACATTACCATTGCCTGCAATGGCCGCGCGAATCTGCGCAGCGGGCACAACATGGTCAATGCGAGGAGCTGTCCTGGTCGGCTGCACCAGCGCCCACTGGGTGCCTGCAGGACAAAGATCGGCTGCGTTGAACTCGCGAGGGCCACCACCCGATCTGCAATTCGGGCATCTTTCCAGATTCTCCGTGTGCGCCTCGGTCGCAACAACAACTCAAACACGATTGCGCGTCTGTGGTGCTATGTCCCACACCGCGGCAATCTGATGAAATCTCTTGCAAATTGCATCAACATCATGCTGCAACCAATGCCCCGTGTGGAACTATCAACGCAGCGGAAAGAACAAATACATGGATTGGCGTTGGCTCACATGGACCCGCACTGCTGGCATGTTTCAGGCTCAACGACAAATGCTGGGCACATGCTCTGTGTGGGGACTTCTGGGAATGGAACCAGAACGCGCGAGGCTCACCAGACATGGCTACCCTTGCACTGCTCGTGAACGAACCATGGGGCATGCGTCTAAGATTTGTCTGGTCCAGTTTCCGAATCGAGCACTCCATAATTGGATATGCGTTAGCCAGCGTGGATCCCAAACAGTGAGTTATCGCACTGTGGAGGTGAACGCTAGGCGGTGTACACTATGCTGTGTAGTCTACGTGCTGTAAGCTATATAGTGTGAGCTATGCGGCGTGAGCTATGTTGTGTAGGCAGTGCAGTGTAGGCTTTGCAGTGTGAGATGTGCAGGTGTCAGCTGTGTGGTGAGAGCTAGGTGGTGACACCGATGTGGTGTAAGCTATGTTGCCTGAGCTATGCGGTGCAAGCTCTTCGTGGTGTGAGCTATGCTCTGTAAGCTATAGTGTATAAGCTATGTTGTGTAAGCTAGGTGGTGGACACTGTGCGTTCTAACATGGGTGCTGTGAGGTACGTTGCGTAACTTATGCGGTGCGAGCTATGTGGTGTGAGCTATGCGGTGTAAGATATGTGGTTCCCACGAGGTGCGCACGAGCGCCCGCGAGGTGCCCTCGAGCGGGCAGGGACGCGAACGTGGTTAAACTTTGGGAAACCCACCCAGCGCAGCGGGTGCCCACGCGGCGCGCACGAGCGGACACGGGCGCGAACGTGGCGAAACATCGGGCACCCCACGCAACGCACAGGACGCCCGCGAGGCGCCCACGATCGGCACGGACGCGAACGTGGTGAACACCAGAAATAACCCATCCAGCTATTGAATTCCGCCAGCGGAGTGAGAACGCCTAAATGCAAACACTGCTTGAGGAACAAAGCTGGTCCGCAAAGCGATCTCATCAACCTGTCTAGTCTAACGGATGGTTTGAAGTATTCAACATGGCCAGATCTGCCCAACCAGACGAAACCGAATATACCCTCAAGAGGGTGGGATGAAAACACTATCCGCTGGGGGAAGGGGAGCGCGGCCTAACTTTCAGGAAGTAACCAGGGCAATCTCATCATATCATTCGTAGGTTGAGTACAGCACAACTCAGTTATCACGATTCATCAGTCGCCCCGAACACTGGCACAACCAGACTATTTCGGCGATGACATGTCCTCGAGCATCTGATCGAAAGATCCATGCGCCACCCCCTTTCAAACTCCCCTTTGTTCCCCTGGTCAGCACGGAGCCCGATATGTCTGGCGGACATATTTCCGACCAACCTTCGAGCTGGATGAAGCCGCGGTGACGGGTGGCTTCGCCCCCCCCCAAAAAAACAACAACATCTGCCCGAATGACCACGGCACCAAGTCGATGAGCGTGGACCGCGGTGGCCCCCGTGTCGAGAGCAACAATCAACGAGACAATACACATAACAACATGCTGCACACTCCCAGGGCACCTCCACGACCGTCCACTCCTGGCACGTTGCGAGTATCTCGATTCAGCTCTCTTATCGAAGAATAGAAGAATATGGGGCCATGGCTGAGCAACACTTTTTCCATCAACAAACTTACTACTTTGGTGCGAATTATCGCTACGAGGAACTACTTGGGCGGAGCCGGGAGGTTCACGGCACGGCAGGTCCGATCGTATAATGTCGTTTCATTCTAGCCACAAGGCGCAGATGCAGCGACGCTCTGGACGATCACCCATTCGACGCCTGATGCAGCGCAGTGCCTCCGGCACTATGTCATGACGTTGAATCTCCATCCCTCGGCAAGCGCGAGCGAAGGGCACCATGTGTGGCACGAGCGGTACGCTGGCTGAGCTGGCCGAAGACACTTCAGACATGAACCCTGCCTATGAAATCCGACCAGCGCTCTGGGCGTAGGTGGTTTAACCAGTTTTGTCGTCTGTCCCACTCCCTCACCTGCTCGGGGGAGGGGCTCATCACCAGTCACCATTACTAAACACCTCCTCCCCCAGGCGACCGGCAGCCAACCAGGACCAATGAGGGCACGCCCCCCACCATCCCTGTCAAACACAATGTGAAGTCCACTTTGGGGCACAATCTTGGGTCATGGCCGGGGGGGCCGCGAGCTGTCTTGTTATTGACAGGGACGGCGAGGGTGCCCGCGTATTGCTTGCTGTGCGCAGGAACAAGATTCCTGTCAAAAACAAAACACGTAGCACTTCGAGGCGAGATCTGGATCATGCGCGGGCACACCGCGATCACTGTGCATTGGTCTTTTGAGTGGGACGGCGGGGGTGCTGGCACATTGCCTGCTATGTGCAGGCCCACCAAACGTTATGATGGCCACCGCGCCGCGATTTCGCACTGGTTTTTGACAAGGGTGGTGGGGGCCGACACGTTTCCCGATGTGTACTGCCACGTGCGCAAGGGCACCTGGCACACTCTGCGCGTGCCCCGAATGTGGCGCACCTGGCGCGGCTGGAGCAAGCACACCTGGCGCACGTGGATCACGTTGGGCATCTGGCGCGCCGGGCGTGCCTGGCATGGGCCACATGGGTGCCTGGCGCACCTGGCGCGCGTGGCGCGCCTGATACGCCTGGCGCACCTCGCCCTGGCGTTCCGCACATGGGCTCGGATTTGGTTCCCATTACTTCTCCATCCAAAGACTACAGCCGAACACGCTACGGCTCAGGTGCTACTTATGTGTTGGGAGGGCGGGCGGGAGTGAGCAAGACGGCTTGCAGGCGGGGGGGTGTCTTGATCACTGTTCCCTGTTAGTATACATCCCCCCACAGGCGACGGCGACCGGCAGCCAACCAAGAACGATGAGGACCACATGAGGCCCCCCCCCACCATCCCTGTCAAAAAAATTATCCAGGCGAAGGACCCGACCGTATGCAGCTGTGAGCACCGCGTTGTGGGCACCGCTCTCGGTGGAACCCCCTATGGGGCCACGATCCTCGTGAGGGGTTTGCCGAAATGAGCGGGGGGACGCATGCAAACCCTGCCGGTGGGGCCTTCGGTGGAGCTCCCTAGGGGTGTGCCGAAATGGGCGGGGGGACGCGTGCAAACCCTGCCGCCGCTGGGGCCTTCAGTGGAGCTCCCTACGGGGCCGCGGTCATCGTGAGGGGTGTGCCGACATGGGCGGCGAGACGCATGCAAACCCTGCCGCTGGGGGCGAGGCGAGGTGAGCGCGCGGTTCCGCCGGGAGCGGGGCCCTTGAGGGCCTGCGCGGGGGGGCCGAAACCCTCAGTGCTTGTAGTCCTTGTTTGCCGAGGCCGGGGTGCTGAATTATGAGCTGGTGGACGCTGGAAGTCAAATGGTGCAGGTGGAAGTGGAGAGTCGGAAGCTGGATGCTGGAGTCGGAGTGCTGGGTGGTCGGCAGGTGGAAGTGGACGTGGAAAGTCGGATGCTGGAGGGTGGAGGTCGGAGTGCTGAGCTGCTGGGCGCTGGAGGTCGACGGGTGGAGGTGGAGGTGGAAAATCACGTGCTGCTGGAGGATGGAGGTCAGAATGCTGCGTTGCTGGACGCTGGAGGTCGATAGGTGGAGATGGAAATGAAAGTCGGAATGCTGGATGCTGGATGCTGGAGGTGGGAGTGGTGAGCTGGAAGAAGCTGGAGGTCGATAGGTGGAGGTGGATCTGAATAGTCGGATGTCGCATGCTGGAAGTCGGGATGTGGACGCGAGAGTTGGGGGTCGGAAGGTGGAGGTCAAGAGCTTGGAATTGGTTTGCATGTCCAGCTCGCTATGGTTCGATTTCACATCTTGGCGGGCGGGCCGGGTGTCTCAGTTCGCGTCGTCCGTGCTTTGCTGGTCGACGGCGAATCGTACAAACTTGTCCACTAAGCCCTGCCAAGTGTAGCTATCGTGCGCCAGCGCAAACCACCATTCGCAGCCAGCATCATCGGGGAGTCTCTTGTTGTGGTCAATCATATCCATGGTGCCCAAACGTTTGACGATCTCGTGGTCCCAACGCTTCCGCTGTCCCCCTTGTTTTCGTTGTGTGGGTCTTCTGTCGTGCAGCGGTGGCTGCCAAACGGCGGCGCGTCGCGCCCAGTGGTCGGCGGGTACATTGGCAACCCGCTTGGCCCATCTCCACTTTGCTTCAAAGCAGTGCGAAGCCCAATCGTCGACTTTCGCGCGTCTGGCATGGGCATCGGCTGGGTGCGTCGCTCGTCGGATGCAGTCCACCCATGGCCCTAATCCGTCGTTGCCGTTGGTGTCGCCGTCGTTGTTGCTGGTACTGCCGCCGTCGTCGTCGTCGTCGTCGTCGCTGTCGCTGCTTTTAGTGCCTCCGTCGTTGCCCAAAAGTCGACTTTGTTAGTGCTGTCGTCATTGTCTGGGTTGCGTTCGGCGAAGTCTCCGTCAAGCTCTGCGCACTCTGCTCCATCTCCCTCCTCCTGTTGGTCGCTGCTAGGTTGGAGGTCTTTCTCGTCGTCGTTCCAGTGATTCCCTCGCGTGCGTCGTCTGCCAGTGCCCACGATGATTCGGATCATCTTCCGCTGTGTACGCTGTAGTAATGTAAGCATGTCTTTGGTTAGGACCCACGAGCTGCATCCGTACATGACACTGGGCGTTACGGTCCCACTGAAGAGGCGTAGGCGGCTTGCGAGAGGGTAGTGTCTGCATGTCAATTCGTGTCTCAGTTGGTTTAATCGGCGCCAGCCCGACGCGATTCTGTTGTCGAGCTCCGTGCTGCGGAAGTCATGGTATGTAAATTTCCTGCCCATATATTCCGTGCTCTGCGTTGCGTCCAGAATCTCGACACTATCACCTTCGATGTTAGTGGCCTTGACCTTGTCGCCGGGTGACGTTGGTCAGTATTTTCGTCTTGTCTGGGTGTAACTCAAGGCCGCATTGTGTCGAGTGGAGCTTGAGCTCGTGCAGTAAACATTTCAGCTGACGCAAATTTGGCGCACACGATAAAACGTCGTCTGCAAAACGGAGGTTGGTGAGGACGGTGTCTGTGGTGAAGCCCATCTGTGTGCCAACCAATTTGTTGCGCCATGTGTCCTTCATGCGTCGGAGCATTCTTTCAAGTAGTGCGTTGGAAAATAGGGAGCTCAGTGGGTCTCGTTATTTCACACCTCGCTGGGTGTTGAGCTGTCTGCTCGTGCTGTCCGTCCGTACTGTAGCGGTCTGGTCGGTGTAGAATTGTTTGAGGAGGTGTATGTAGGATGCCGGCACCTGCTGCTCTCTGAGTGAGTCCCATAGTACGTTGTGGTTGACACAGTCGAATGCTTTCTTAAAGTCCACCGCTGCTACCCAGAGTTGTAGTTGCCATTCTTCTGACTGGTTGTGCAGGGGAGCCGTCGTGAATAAGTGGTCGTCGGTGCTGTAGCCGTGTCTGAAGCCTGCTTGGTCTACGCTGTGCTGCTTGTCTAACAGTGGGCCCAGTCGATTGTACATGAGTCGAGCCATAAGCTTGTACAAGAGAGGGGTACTTGCAATTGGTCTGTAGTTTTGTGGTAGTTTTGCGTCTCCTGATTTGAAAATCACAGTGATGGTGGTGCGCCTCCACTGTTCTGGCGGTAACTGTTCTGGGTGAATGATGTCGTTGAACAAGCATTGTAGGTGCTGTTCTATGCGCGGCCCGCCTGCTTTCAACATTTCTGTAGTGATTCCCGCTGTGTCTTTGCATTCTCCATTTTTGAGCTCTTTCATTGCTTGGTGTACCTCTTCCTGAGTACAAGGTGGTATTTGCTTCGGCCTCACTTCGGCCTCCAACTCTTCGCGGCACGGGACAGGGGGGCGGAAGCAGTGCGTCGAACGTCCGTTGTTGGAGTCGGTTTGTCGGTACAGTTGTTCGTGGAACGCTGCAGCTCGGTGGAGCTCCCTATGGGGCCGCGATCCTCGTGAGGGGTGTGCCGACATGGGCGGCGGGACGCATGCAAACCCTGCCGCTGGGGCCTTCAATGGAGCTCCCTAGGGGGCCGCGATCCTCGTGAGGGGTGTGCCGACATGGGCGGCGGGACGCATGCACGCCCTGACGCAGGGGCCTTCGGTGGAGCTCCCTAGGGGGCCGCGATCCTCGTGAGGGGTGTGCCGAAATTGGCGGCGGGTCGCATGCAAACCCTGCCGCTGGGGCCTTTGGTGGAACTCCCTACGGGGCCTAGATCCTTGGGAGGGGTGTGCCGAATTGGGCGGGGGGACGCATGAAAACCCTGCCGCTGGGGCCTTTGGTGGAACTCCCTACGGGGCCACGGTCCTCGGGAGGGGTGTGCCGAATTGGGCGGGGGGGCGCATGAAAACCCTGCCGCTGGGGCCTTCGGTGAAGCTTCCTATGGGGCCACGATCCTCGTGGGGGGTGTGCCAAAACGGGCGGGGGGACGCGTTCAAACTCTGCCGCTGGGCTCCCTGTGGGGCCACGATTCTCGTGAGGGGTATGCCGAACTGGGCGGGGGGACGCATGCAAACCCTGCCGCTGGGGCCTTTGGTGGAGCTCCCTGTGGGGCCGCGATCCTCGTGAGGGGTGTGCCGAAATGGGCGGGGGACGCATACA